GTGTTGATATAGTTTCAAATATTATCTTCCTTTGCAACAGGTCTAAATATAGGGTAAATTCTTTAGGTGAAAAATAAAAATTACTTTTAAAAGTCACAAGAATTAAACGGGTTCCAACTCACTAATTTATACACACCATATGTGTATCACAGCTGCTGAATATTCAAATTAAGAGAAAATTTCCTGTTGCCTTTCTATAATATAAAAATTTCGCAGAATTATTTTAGATTGCTTAAGAAAAATCTAAATCTTACTTGTCTATCTGTAGGAATTGGTGTGTCCTTATCAATTGCAACATACTTGGCATGAATAGCCCCCTGTAAAAAATAGAAGATATATTAATACAACAGAATTTATAATAAGTTATTAATGCATATAAAACCTATTTCCTACATATGCCTATAGGAGCTTTGGTGGCATAATGGTTATGTGCTGGGCTGCTAATTGCAGAGTCAGCAGTTCGAAACCAACAGCCACTCTGAGGGAGGAAGATGGTGCTTTCTACTCTTGTAAAAGGTTAGTCTCTGAAATTCACAGGAGCAATTCTACTCTGTCCTACAAAATCATTATGATTTTGGCAGCGAGTTTGGTTTTGGATATACATCTGTCTGCCTATCTATCTACTTCATATGTTGTTTGTAATTAATGCTAAGGCAGGATTGTATGTTATACTATTTATTGTTGTCTGTTATTTACCTCATGTCATCTTTCTGATCACCCTCTTATTTTATGTTGCCTTTCCCTTCACACAATTTGAAACATGTTCATTATCTAGTTAGAGATAACCCCCCCCCTTCCCTCCTACCCTTGGTAGCCAACAAAGAATTTTTTTCTGTTTGGAAAACTTTCCTTGATTTTTTTTATAATAATGGACTCATATAATATTTGTTATCTTATGAATGACATCACTCAGCAAAATATCCTCCAGGTTCATCCATGTTATGAGGTATTTGAAGAATTCTTCCTAATCTTTGAATGTTGTACAATATTCCCTTGTGGGTATACACCAAGTTTGTTTACAGCGTCACCCACGGACAAACACCTAGGCTGTTTCCCTCTCCCTGCTATTGCGACTCATGCTGCACAGAGCATCGTGCACAGGTATCTAGGCTTTCATTTCTTTAGGACATACACCTCAGAGGGCTATTTCAGGATCAAATGGTATTTCTGTTTCCATGCAGAGGAGATTTTAATAAAACAGAAATTGGAGTAGAAGATTCCCCCAAGCCTCTATAGAGCAACTTGTAGATTAGTGCTTACATTCATAAATAAATATATTTTATATGTAAGACTACACAATTAAAATATTCTGATTCTAAAAAAATCAAGATTTTCTTGTAAGTTCCATAGAGATATTAAACAGTATAAATCTAATGAATCTTTAGTAAAATTATTTTATTTTGTTTCTTTTTTTCAATACTGGAAAACACAGAAAGATACATAACAGTGTCAAGAATGCTACCAACAATAACAAAATCAACAGAGATAAGATCTGATTTGAAAAAGACAAACAAAAAAAACCCTAGAAATATTAAAAATCCAATTTATTTTCTTTCTGTTCTAAATCTAATTTATTGTGTTCTATGCTATACATCCCATCAGTTTATTTTTCTTTTACTTAAAAATTACAAATATTTTAATGTTCATATTTCACCATGTAATTTTCATTCTTTTTTTTTGCACACCCACCCCTTAATTTTCATTTTAATGCATAGTTTTCAAGTTGTTATAAAATATATATTTTATAACAACTTGAAAAAATATATATTAGAAAATTGCTATTCATCTTTATATTTTCTTGGCATTAATGATCAGCTTTGCAAGACGATTTTTCCATCTCTTTTCTTTCTTACCTCAACTCCTAGAAGCGCAGCCCAGGTTAAACCTCTCATAAGAGGAGGAATGTCAACTCTTGCTTCTTTCCAGATTTGATTTTTTTTATATGGATAAGCCTATTATAATATGAAAAAAATAAATTTAAAAATTATCTCAAATTGCAACATGCCACCTTTCAGTCCAGACAGTTCTGAATGCACTTGTGATAAAGTTCCAGGACACTTGTAAATTCTAATTACCTGAAATGACCCTGTCTGGTATTAAGATATTGAAGTCAGTAGTGAAACGGTTCCCTAGCTCCCTGGCCATGTGGCATCACATAATAAAAGATCAGAGTTGATTCGACTTGTTTTCATGATTCCCCTCTGTGCTGTGTGCTAGAAGAGAGATGAAGTGGTCACAGGAGGCTTGGCAGGCCTGATGACACAATAAGTGCTTGGCTGTTAACAGAAAGGTTAGAGGTTTGAACTCCATCTAAGAAAATCCTGGCCATGTGCCCCTATGAAAATTACTGTCTAGAAAAACCTATGGGGTGATTTTTCCCGGCCCATCTACTAACCACCATAATATATCCTTGCATGTAAATTTACTTATGTTTTAACAATTCTTAATAAACTTTTAAATTGTGAAGTAGAACGCTTCAATCAATTTACACTTACAAGTATTTCAGCAGAATGAAAGGTCCCATCTCAGTGTATGTTCATGCTTTTTGGTATGCAAAAATAACCTATTATGAGTTATAGTGTTTGTGAAAAATATTGAAAATACCATGGACCGCCAAAAGAATCAATAAATATATATTAGAAGAATTACAGTCAGAAATGTTCCTTAGAGGCAGGGATGGCAAGACTTCATCTTTTGTACTTTGGACATGTTATTAGAATAGACAAGTTTCTGGAGAAGGCTATCATAATTGGTCAAGTGAAAAAGAGGAAGACCCTCAACAAGACGGTTTGACACAGTGGCTGCAATAATGGGCTCAAACAGAAGAACACCATTGTGAGGGTGGTGCAGGGCCACGCAGCGTTTCATTCTGCTATACAAAGGTTTGCTATCAGCCAGAACTGACTTGATGGCACCTATCGACAGCAACATGCAGAGAAAAACACATATCCTATTTTATTTACTCCCCACCCCATTCCTGGTGATGAGGAAAATTTCTACCTGATTTGCTAACAAACTGAATCTTTATATGCCCTTTACTCATTTATCTGTTTCAGTGTTGGTGCTTTGTCCTATTGAGTTCTGGGTGTTGTTCATCATGATTTGGTAAGTACCAGGGTTAAGTTGCAAAGTATTGCTGCTACAGCGGTTCCAGCTCATACCTGCATGGATTAATTGCAAACAAACTGTTTAATACTGTTTCTACGATCAGTGGATGGCTGTAGATAGGTTCTCCCACGAAGGTCTAATCACAATAGCACTTCTGAGAGGCTCAGTAGGGCCAGTGAAACATAAGGCAGAAAGGTCAGCCCCGAAGGTTATAGGGACGACATGTAAGGGTATCAAAGGGCTAATCTCTAAGGAAAGGTGGAAAGCATGGAGGATTATGATGAAGACATTCTAAGAAACTGGAGACTGGAAAATTGTGTTTGTCAGGATAGACCAGGACAGTCGCATGGTGGAAGTTGTATCCATTACAACAATGTTCCTGTTCACTTCACCGGGTAGCAGGGACTGTGCTAAGAGAATTTCATGGGGGAACCTTACTCTATACACCGCACAATCCTGATCCTGCCCCTTCAGACTTCCTTTTGTTCCCCAAACTCAAGGAACTTTTCAAAGGAACAGAGTATCCGTCCCTCGGGGATGTTAAAGCTCTCATATTGCTGTGGTACACATTGAAGATCACAGATTTCTTTGAAGACAGGTTAGAGACATAGAAACATTGCCTGAGAAGAATATGGACCTAGATGGAGGATGTGTCAAGAAACAGCAGCTTTGCATTTGATGCTTTGGTCTAATAAAGGTTTCTAAGATTTTGTAGTAGTGCTTTTGTCTTACCCTCTTAAATTTCCTTACCTTATTTTCAGTTCTTAATTTGTTTTATATTAATATGTAGCACTTTCATAATTAAAGTTAATCCACAAAAATATATCAATGGTAGTAAAGTTCACTTGACATGAAGAATCCCTAAGAATTAACACTGGAAACAAACAAACAAAAATAAGGATTGTACTTAGACTGTGATTAATAATTTTGTAGACTCTCTACCTTTAGCAGCCTGTCAAAGAGAACAATTCTGTTTAGCTGGTACTCTGTGTCTCTCTCTCGAATGATCAAGGGGAGGGTGGCAGCTGCAGATAATTCATTATTACTGTTTGAATGAGGTAAATTAGACTGGCTGTAAAAGAAAAACCAAAACAGAAGAATTAGCACAAAGTAAAAAAATTTAACAAAACCAAAAAAAAATACACAAATTAAAACTAGGATTTTATATCCTGCTTGGGAAACACTCTTCGGAGAATATCTACATTTTTCTTGGCAAGCTAAGATACCGTAAGCTGAGAAATACCAGAGTAAATGATCTACTCACTCATCTTCAAGTAGCGGATAAAACGCTTCTCCACCAACATCTTTCAATCTCTGTGAAAGAAAGTGTGTATGAGTATCTGAGATAGCAACACTAAAAGCAAAATGATGTAAAAATTATGAATTTATAAAAGTATTGAGAAAAATATAAAAGTGATTCAGAATTTTCTATCAAGTGGGAAAGTCTTCTGTGCTTCTACTGAATATGGTTCATCTGTGAAAGATAGCTTTGTCTACTTTTCTCCCTCCTCAACGCAACCCTCTGTCATCCAGTTGATTTTGACTTGCAGACACCCTATAAGGTAGAGTAGAACTACTCCATTAATAAAGACATTTTAAAGAGTGTATGTTTTATTGTCCTGTGTGTTTGTGATTTTCACAAGCATATTTCATGTTTTTAGTTAAAATTTTAGATTTTTAATGGTAATATAGGATAAAAATACACAGAAAATATAACATTAAATTATGAGTTGGCTCCTATATTACTTTAAAAAGCTGTTGTGCCACAAGGACTAAGTGCTCAGTTACTTAGTAATCCAAAGTTACAAGCAACTCTGCAGAAAAAATATCTAATGATCCATCTATGAACTAAAGGAATTAGTCCTACTCTATATTATAGTATTGATTATCGTATTGCTACAAGGCTGAATAGACTCAGCAGTATACAAAAAAGGCCATCATTAAACAATGAACATAACCATTATTTTCTTAATAATTTTAGGAAAATATATTTCAAAATTCAATGTCAGGGAATTAAGATAATATAATTGAAGCCTAGTTAGGAGCTTATTTCATTTAAATTTCAATTAAATTTTAAAAAGAATAAAAGAAGACCAGATCACTTGCAACCACATATTTCAGATGTAGTTTGTTTTCTGCTTTATATTTTGTCTATTGTATACATTTCTTCTTTACAAAGAAAATCTAAATTTATTATATCTAGTAATAATAATTATATATTTCCATTTTCTTTCATAATATTATAGTAAACAAGATATCCTAATACAATATCCTATTATATAATATGTAAATATTAAATGAGTGGATAAGCAAAAAAAAATCAAGGTAAATACAGTGATATTAAAACTAAATCTGTAACAATGATGAGAAATACAATCTTCCTCTAGTTCCTAAAGGTTTCCTCCCCGCTCCCACTAACATGACTTGAATTCTATCTTGCAAGACTGGCTAGACCAGAGGAGGTACACTGGTACAGATAGGAACTGAAAATACAGGGAATCCAGGACGGATGAGCCCTATAGGACCAGTGGTGTGAGTGGCAAAACAGGGAGGGTAAAGGGAGAATGGGTAGGAAAGAGGGAACCGATTACATGGAACTGTGTGTGACCTCTTCCCTGGGGGACAGACAACCGAAAAGTGGATGAAGGGAGACGTCAGACAGGGCAAGAAATGACAAAATACCCATTTATAAACTATCAAGGGCTCATGCGGGAGGGGGGAGCGGGGAGGGAGAGGAAAAATGAGGACCTAATGTCGGGGGTTTAAATGGAGAGAAAATGTTTTGAGAAACGATGTACAAATGCGCTTTACACAATTGATGTGTGTGTGGATTGGGATAACAGTTGTATGAGCCCCTAATAAAATGTTAAAAAAGAAAAAACAACAACAACAACAACAACAAAAACTAAATCTAGGCCTACAGAGAGAAGATATGAGCTAGTTGTAAAATATCTGAGTAACTGTGCCCTGGAACTGGTTAGCACAGTGAGACAAAGCATTGGGCATGTATAAACCAGGAGAGATCTTGCTAAAGTGAGATAAAGAAAGATTGCACAGGGTAAGGGGTGCCCTATCCCAGAGGCTAGTGTGTAAATAATCTCTTGGATAAATGGTGCTGAGATCATTGAATTCACACAGAAAGATTCAGGCTCCATGCCTCCTACCTTACACCATACAAAAATCCAATTAAAAATGGATCAAGAACCTATTTAAGTAAACCAAAACCATAAAATTCGTAGAAGGAAATATAGGCACATGGGTATGGAACTTAGATGATCAGATTATGGATGATCAGATATGACCAAAAACAACAACAAAAAAGCACAATCAGAAAAAGACAAATGAATAAATGCGACATCATAAAAATTAAATACATTTTTTTCATCAAAGAATTTTATCAACAAAGTGAAAATACAATCTAAATTGGGAGAAAATATTTGGGAACTATATATTGGCTAAGGGCTCAATATCCAATATATAGAAGATATATATTTTCTATATATTGGATATTTATATAGATAGATTATATATATCTTCTAAAATAAAAGACAATTAAATTTAAAATGGGCTAAAGACTTGAACAAACATTTCACCAAAGAGGCCAAGAAATACATGAAACAAGTTTCAATGTCATTAGCCATTCCTACTGCGATCAAGGTGACTTCAACGTCTAGCAAACCTATAGAACAATCCTGCTCCTTAGGGCTTCCAAGACTGTACATTTTCATGGAACAGGGAGCTTCACCTTTCTTCTAGGGAGCAGCTGGTGGGTTTGAACCACTGACCTTGTGGCTAGCAGCTCAACAATTAACCCACAAATGGATGCAAATCAAAATGATCATGAGATATTGTCTTATCCCTATTAGAATTGCAATGATTAAAAAATGAACAAAATAAAACATAAAATTTAAAAAAACAATAGGTGTCATGGAGTTGTGTAAACTCATCCATTGCTAATGGAAATGCACAATAGTACAACTGCTGTGGAAACCAATTGGTTGGCTCCTCGTGGAACTACTAGTTTAATATGGAACTACTACATGGCCCAACAATCTCAATACTAGGCATACATGAGTAAGAAATGAAAGCAAGAACGCACTCAGAAACCTGTGCACTAATGTTTGCCACAGTAATTTCACAAAAGCCAAAACGTGGAAACAACTGGGATGTCTATCAAGAGATCAATGACTAAGCAAATTATGGTCTATACAAATTTATGGACCTTGAAAAGTATTCTGATGACAAAATGAGTCAGTTGGCAGAAGACAATATTGTCTAGTTTCACTTACATGAAACGCACACATATATAGAAACCAAAGATATACGTAGCTACCTGGGTGATAGAAAAGTGGACAGGAAAGAAGCTGCTTAGGAAATACACATATTAGCAGATATTTATATCCTTTAATGCCAAAAAGGCTCAATATCTGGATCCTATTTTAAGAAACCCTCAAACCAACAGAAAATAAACAGAAAACTTGTATAAACTAGTAATTTTTAGACAAAGAAAGCAAATTGCCAAACAATGTAAAAGGCTCATAATTAGACTATCATGAGGGAATTAAAATTTCTTTGTTATTTTATTAGATAGTCTGAAATGTTACCAAATTTTCAGGGAAATTTTTACCCAGTAATGGTGCAAGGATAAACTGATAAAAACTAGTTTGTGAAAATAACAGACCATATATGCACTGAAGACACTTGAGTTAGTTAGTTTATTGTGCCAACCTGGCTGATAAACACATGTGGGGTTAACTGAAGGGTAGAGGGATAAATGGCTCAGCCAGCCTTGCCTTTCTAGTTCTAGGGTTTCTTGCTCTCCGATGGTTGCACCAGGGTTAGCTGCCTGAGCAGTTCCCTGCTTCAGCTTGCAAGGCTGACTTCCTGCAAGACATCCCCAAGGAGAAGCCATGTGGACCTACCAGGATGCAGCCCAGGGCACTAGAGCAGCCGTGTGGAGACCACTGCCAGTGCTGAGATGCTTATACATTCACTGACTCAGCTTTCCTCCTGCAGTCGGCATCATTGCATCTGTTTTGTGAGATGGAGGACTTTGTGGATTGGTGTTGGACATATGGGCTAATGGGTTAATGTTGGACTTGTGGGATTGGGCAGCCCTGGGTTGGGATGTTTTCTTGATGTGCACTTACCCTTTATATAAAACTCTCTCTCATACATGAGTTTCTGTGGATTTGTTTCTCCAGACTAACACAACACTCTAATGTATGTTATGTACAAAAACAGGCCTTATCTCTATGTACTAGATTTTAGTTAATAATAATAAAATGATCTGAAGCAAATTTAGCAAAACTCCACTTACATTTCTTAACTGGCATAATGACAACATCACAGTAGTATCATCTAAAAGTGAGCTTCTATCTCGACCTTGACCACAGCTCTCACCATCTTCAAAGAGTAAACTTAAAAGAGATTAAAAAATTATTTTTGTGATTACACAAGATCTATTTCATAATTCTTCCTAGAAAACAAAATTGATTCTGCCATCCATACCAAAAACAAAGAAAAATAATTTTCAGATTAAATGGTAATAAAAGTATAATGCTACTTGAGATTTCTTCATACAAATCTTAATTCTAGATATCTCTACAATTGATATGAATAAAGTAATTATAAATCACTACAAATAAAAATGTTACCTTACTTCTTTGCTCATGGAGGTTCAATGCTAAAATTACCTCCTGACTATTAAAATGTGTGGCTGCAAAAGTTCTTATGGGTGGAAAATGACAAAGGGAAGAAGAAAATAACAAAAGGTAAAAAAATTAAGACATAGCAAACTGACGGCAACCTCTTAGGGACGACAAAGTACTAAATAACATGAAATACATGAAAGAAACTTGTTGAAAATTCAAAAGAATTACTTTTGTGAATCTATATATATTTCAAATAATTTCTTCTTGAAAATGTCATCTTATTTCTCTGATTATGTTATATGTGTGAGCAGTATAATTGAAGTCAATTTTTAAAAGTCAGCTTCAGGGGAAAAGTATGACTAAAAATAATCTAACTTGTAAAGGGAAAAACATGCAAGTAAATGATCAAATCTAAGTCATAAAATCTAAAATTAAAATTTTAAAGCATTAACCAAGTTTGAGAAAATCAAGTTCAAGTGCTTAAGAACACATATAAATACCAATGGTATATTATTAACTTTGGCACATGGAGCTGTACAATTTCTCAACTTCCAGTTTAATTTATATCATGGAATTTTTTTATCATACGCAAGTTTCTTCTCAATAGTGATGATCACTTGATATAGTGAAGATCTCTATAACATAAAATGAGTGCTACAGAGTCCATTCTTTAGTACACAAATAACAAAAAATAGAAATCAGCTGTACTATCTAATCCAACACTATTAAATAGCTAAGCTAATACAAATTTGCTACTTGTATTAGGTTAGTTTTCAAGATTCTCAAATGTTACTGTTCTAAGTTATACACCTTTTATCTTTTAAACTTATTGTAAGATGTCTCATAACAGTAACTTTAGTTTAATAGGACATTTAGCAACTTATTTAATAAATAAGTTTAATAAAATAAAAGGGAACTGCAATTAGACATTTAATCAAGTATACATAACTTCCAATTATTTCCATAGTTACTTAGAATGTCTACACACCAAGAAAAGCTCAGCTTGCTTTTTAAAAAAGTGGTATTACCATATCATTTTTTGATTTAGAAGATAATCTTTCTTTCCTTACTTTGGAAGTGTACAAATCGGGGGTTTAGATCGTATGATTTCCTTGTTGACAAGTTCTTTTTCCAAGTCACCTCCAGCCAAACACCAAAGGTAATACACTTCTTCAATCGATCTTTCTGCTAAGTAATCATTGTTGATATCTATTTGAAAAGAATCACAGTTATCACAATTATTATTTTCAAGTAAACATCAATAGCTAATAATAGAAAAATAAAGGGGAAAAACTGAAGAACATAGCAAAGCTCTCTTCAGAGTATTCAGACTATAAATTGCATACAGACTGTGATGTAGATATATGTTGAATGTGTATGTGTTTCTTCAAGAAAAGGAACAAACTATCTCTGTATATAAAATTAATTCAAATGAAGGAACCATTTTTTCCCATTGTGTTTAACATGTATTCATTAAACGTGCAATAAACTGGAGGGGATAAAATGCTGATGCCAAAAGCTGTTGTTAATTAAATGCAAACAATATTTCCCAGGTTTTATGTTCAAACTTGAGGAAAAAGAAAATACTTTTGATTTCTAAAGTTTCTCTTTTCTAAATTGAGATAAGTGCCTTTTGATTTGCCATGATTCTTTTATAAAATTCCACAGTTTTAAATGATATTAAATAGGTAATAAAAATGTTATGTGCTCCTAAAAGAAGAAATTAATAAAATATTATATTTGTTTGCTTATATAAGTAGTAAAAATGTGTTTAAAGTATCACTGCTATTGGGAGGTATAATGGAGTAAGTTCCAACTCATAGCAACCTCACGGGTCAGAAGAACTGCCTTTTCAGGTTTCCACAACTATAGATATTTTGCAGGCAGAAAGTCTATCTTTCTCAGTTATGAATAGCTGGTGGGTTTAAATAACTGACATTGTGGTTAGCAGCACAATGCCTAACCCACTACACTACTAGGGCTTCTACCTAAATTGTACCAAAGGGAAAAAATTCCATCTAAATTTAAATATATAATATCCTAGACGCAGTGGCAGTTACATGATGAAATTACCTCCTTCCAGGAGGGAGACAGGGTTTCCAGAACAATCCAATGTACCTCAATACAGTCACCACTTGTTTGACAGTCGAGGCTCTGGAGTGGTTAGGTTGGACAGCATATTTCAGCAGAGTTCCAGACCAAAACACCCTAGGGAAAAAGGCTTAACATCCTACTCAGAATCAGCCATCGACAATCCTATAGATATGCAATCATGGGGATGGTGTAGTACAGGTGGTATTTTGTTCCTCTGTGTCAAAATGAGTGGGTGGCTACCTTGATAATAGATAATAACCACATCCACTATCATAGTGGTACAAGCACTCACTTTCATTTAAACTAAAGGATTTTCCTTTTATTATCAGTCTTGACCTTTTATTCTTTTGGCCTTATAGTTGGTTATATTAATTGAAAATAAGGTGCAATAATGTTTTTTTTAACTCTAAAGCTTGACTCAAAACATCATGTTGTTCAAGCAACAAAACATTGAACCCAAAACAATTAATATTTCACTGAAAAGGATGAAAATAACTGCTTTAAATATAAATTTCATAGTAGTTCAAATAGAATCATGTAGGCTGACATAAAGTAGCATTATGGATTTTTAAGCAAATTCATGAATTAAGTTCAGATATTCTCCAGGGATAAATGAGAGCATTAATTAGGCAGTACTAAATACAACTATTATTCAAATTTATGAATCAATTACCAAAGCTGCTCATGAGCAAATTGAAAAATTCTACCAACACATCCAGTTTCAAATTTATCATGTATGTGGTCAAGATGCACCAATAATTATAGGTGACTAAAAAGAAAAAGTGAGAATCAAAGAAGAAGGAAAAGAAGTTGGAAAAGATTATTTGGGCAGTAAAAACTAAGCTAGAGACCATGTGAAAGAATTTTGGAAGACCAATGCTTGCTGCTAGCAAATATTTTTCTTTTTCCCCCAACAACACAAATGGTGACTATACACATGAATTTCTCCAGATGGAATAAACAGAAATCAAACTGATTCCAATTTAGGGAAGAAATGATAGAGAAGCTCAATATCAGCACTTAAAACAAGGCTGTGGGCTGACTGGAACAGACCATCAATTGCTCATATATAAGTTCAAGTTGAAGGTGAAAAAACTTTTAAAAGTCCACAAGAGGCAAACTACAACCTTGAGTTTATCCCAAAGATTTTTGAGAATACAGATTTGCTGCATTGAACACTAATGACAAGACTGGATGAGCTGTGTAAGAGAGCAGAAAGAACATCGCTCAAGAAACAAAGTGAAAGGTCATTAAAAAGGCAGGAAAGAAAGAAAAATAGATGTCAGGAAGGACTCTGGAACTTGCTCTTAATCATCGAGTAGCTAAAGCAAATGGAAGAAGTGATGAAGTCAAAGATCTGAACAGAAATTTTCAAATGGCAGTTTGAGAAGTAAAATATTATAATGAAATGTATAAAGACCTAGAGTCAAAAAACCAAAAGGAAGCACACGCTCAGCATATCTGAACAGAAAGAATTCAAGAAAAATTTAAAGCCTAAAATTTCAATATTGAAAGATTGTATGGGCAACATATTGAATGATTCAGGAAGCATCAAAAGAAGATGGAAAGAATACATAAATCACTTACCAAAAAGAACATGTCAACATTACACCAAGACATCAGTTCAAGCTACACTGATGTTTTGAATCAAGCAGCATTGAAAATATTAGCCAAAAACAAGGCTCTGGGGCTTGTTGGAATATCAATTGAAAAGTTTCAACAAGCTAATGAATCATTGGAAGTATGTATTTGTCTATGCCAGGAAATTTGGAAGATAGCTACTTGGCCAACTGACTGGAAGAGATCCATATTTGTACTCATTCCATAGAAGGTGATCCAACAGAATGTACAAATTATAGAACAATATCATGAAGTAAATGTTATCACATGCAAGTAAAATTTTGCTGAAGATCACCCAACAATTGCAGCAGTACACTAGGGTCAGGCCTTATTCAGAAGGGATTTCATTGCTGATGCTGGATAGAACCTGGTTGAAAGCAGAAAATAACAGAAAAAGGTTTGCTTTTGTTTTACTGAATATGCCAAGATATTTGCCTGTGTGAATCATAACAAAGTGCAGATAACATTGAGAAGAATGGGAATTCAAGAACACTTCATTGTGTTCATGCAGAACTTGTGCATGGATCACACAGTGGTTATTCAAATGGAATATGGCAATCTTGCATGGTTTAAAATCAGAAAAGGTGTGCATCAGGGTTGTATCCTCTCACAATAGTATTGTCGATCTCTATGCTGAGGAAATCATCAGAGAAGGAGAATGTGGCATCAGGATAGGAGGAAGGCTTATTACCAACCAGAATTATGCCAAAGATGCAGCCTTGTTTGCTGAAATTGAGGAAGATGGAAAGATTCAGTCCTGAAGAAGACCAGGGATTTCAGCCTTCAGTATGAATAATAACTCAATATAGGGTTGACCAAAATCTTTACTATTCAATGTAAAGAAAACGAAAAGCCACTAAAAGATCAACATATTGAAAGTACCAGCCATTCTGAGACAGAAATCTATGGCTGTTTACTATCATAAAGAGGACAGTTCTACTCTATTCTAGAGGGTTGTGCTATGAGTTAATATCAACTCAGCGGCAATGCGTTGTGTTTTGTTTCAGTCAGTGTCTAGATTAAGATACGCAACATAGCAAAAACGATTTATACTCTCTGGCTTGGTCATTCAGTATTTAATGAATTTTCTAAATGGCTTTAGAGCTGAAATAGGTTTTTTTTGGTATTTTCTTCAGACACAAAAGAAATTCAATACATTTTGACTAACATCTCTGATTACACTGATTCTCAACTAAGAATTTTATCTAAGAAAGACTATAATTCATTTATATTTTTAAAATTTCAATTGGCAATAATGACTATAAGCATTGATCAATTTCAATAATTAAATCAGGAAAGACTCAGTCAACAGTTAAAATTCCAGACTAATCACTGGATAAACTAAAAATTTTAAGTATACTAAAGGCACTTCTTTTAAACACAATGTTCACATTATTGCCTACTTCTTATTTCCATTACCTTTACACAGTTGACTGATATCCTCAGGTAGAGTTAAATCAGCACATCGCAGAGAAGATGAAAACAGACTAGCAGGTTTGACAAACGGAGTATATAAAGGTGATACTTCACTGAACACCTTGTCTTGCATTAATTCACTTGGTGTGGGCCTTGAGAAAAAGAGTATATGTGAAAGTCATTAAAAATTTCCTAGAGTAGGTAAACAAGTGGTCATCTCGCTCAGAAGTAACAAAGCCCACATGGAAGAAGCACACCAGCCTGCATGATCACAGGGTGCTGAAGGGATCAGTTATCAGGTATCAAAGAACAAAAAATCATATATTGTGGGCTCACCTCCCTAATACAATTGCTGAAGACAAATGGGTACATAAGCAAATGTGGTGAAGAAAGCTGATGGTGCCCAGCTATCTAAAGATATAGCATCTGGGGTCTTAAAGGAAAACAAGTGGCCTTCTAACTCAGAAGCAACAAAGCCCACATGGAAGAAGCATACCAGCCTGTGTGATGACGAGGTGTTGAAGGGATCAGGTATCATGCATCATCAGAACAAAAAATCATATCATTGTCAATGAGGGGGAGTGCAGAGTGGAGATCCAAAGCCCATCTGTAGGCAACTGGACATCCAGGAGACAAGCCAATTGGTGCAGTGTAGCAATGATGAAACATACAACTTTTCTCTAGTTCCTAAATGCTTCCTCCTCCCCCATTATCATGATCCCAATTGTACCTTACAAATCTGGCTAGACCAGAGGATGTACACTGGTACAGATAGGAACTGGAAACACAGGTAATCTAGGGTAGGTGATCCCTTCAGGACCAGTGGTGAGAGTGGTGATACTGGGAGGGTGGAAGGAGGGTGGGGTGGAAAGGGGGAACCAATTACAAAGATCTACATATAACCTCCTCCTTGGGAGACAGACAACAGAAAAGTGGGCGAAGGGAGACATTGGGCAGTGTAACATATGACAAAATAATAATTTATAAATTATCAAGGGTTCATGAGGGAAGGGAGAGTGGGGAGGGAGGGGAAAAAATGAGGAGCTTATGCCAGGGGTTTAAGTGGAGAGCAAATGTTTTGAGAATGATGAGGGCAAGAATGTACAAATGTGATTTACACAATCGATGTATGTATGGATGGTGATAAAGAGTTGTATGATCCCCTAATAAAATGATTTTTAAAATGTCCTAGAATTATGATATACATTCAAGGGGTTAGTTCAATATACAAAATACTTTATAATAACAGAAACAGATAAAGCTCTCCTTAGTGTGCGCTAGATAAATACTTGAGCACACCAGTTTCAAACTTTATATGCCTACTTGTGTTTGAGTTTGCTGCATTTGTAAGGTCACTAGTGACGTCATCAAATAAAAGTAAATTCATAAAGATGTTAAGAATCCTTTAATAAAAAAGAATCATTTTTTATTTTCAGTAATTTTTAGTTTTTCACCATTGTTTTCATTTCTCTCATATTATCATTTGTATTTAAGAATGTCTACATTTCACAACTGAACTCCTTTGCTATTTATGGGCCAGGGGATAAAAAAACATTAACTTCCTTTAGGTACGTGACAATTTTCTGACTACGGTTTAACTTCAATTACATAGACATTTTGGGTATCAACATAAAATTAAATCCTCTAAATCACAACCAATAGTAGGTAGTGACACTGACGTCAATGATGTGATACACATATGTAAATATTTAATTTATTCATTAATAGTATCACAGATTTTTAAAATAAACTGCTCATGTGGTGAGAAGCTCAGTGTAATCTCAAACTCTCAATATCATCAACCTCTTAGAAGAGTGGAAGGCGAGGCACTTCTTCAGAAGATTCATCACACTTTCTGGGAGGTCCTGATAAACAAAAAGAAAAAGAAATTATTCTAAATAATCCAGTTTTAGAATATAAGTTAACCAATTCACTCTTAGTCTACCAGGTTTTATTTATTTCAAAAGTCTTCATCTGGAATTAAAAATGAATTTTAATATAGTTTCTATATTAAAAAAGCAAATACTTAGTGGAAATAAGATAGCTTTATGATAGTTGCTATTGAACCCCAAGCACATAAAATTTTGTTAATAGACTAATGACAAACCTTTATAATGTCCAGACAACCATGTTCTTCTGCCAAAACTATTACAGTATCATCTACACAGTCTAGAAAAGAAAAACTAATATTAGATTAACATGGAAATCAACAGTGGTCTTTTTTAAATGCTATATCGCAGCACTGGCATGTTGCCTATTAAAAATATTGTGACTTTGCCATTATAATATTTTAATAAAAATAAAAGCCTCAAATATTGAATATTAGTTGAATCAGAGATTCTGACAGATAACAGCTAAAACTTAAGATAAAGCAGTGAATCAAGCAAGGTAAACACTTTTTATTGTGTATTTTATTTTATTAATAGGCCTTTTCATGATTACAAAACTAATTCACTCATACTACATATACATTGTAGAATGTAAACGACTCACTGAGAATTTAAATGATAAGATTATTTTATATTAATCTCTATAACTTCCCAATAGATATATTATCAATCCTTAAACTAAAATGTGGTGATTATGGTAAAAGTTTACATAATTTTATTTCTAATGGACTATTATTTAATATTTATTAATACTGTTCTATATATATATCATTATCCATAGCATGGATAATGATCTGTTACTCCTTAATATGAGTGTTCAATCAGTGTCCACCCCCTTTTATTACCATACATATTAAATTTATTTCATCCTAAAATAGATTATGCAATTAAAAAAATTTAAATTATAAGTGCATAGATTTATTTTACATGCAAAATTATATAAGAGCTTCTTATGACGAAAAATAATTTTTATTGTGCCCTTATTAATATTTATTACATCCAATAGAAAGACAGTCCACAAGTTAAGATGCACAGTCAGAAGCTAAGCTACTGTAGAGAGAAAAATATAAAACCAAATTATTTGCTTACACTGTATTTTATCTTTACAGGTCTGTTTAGTTGAATAATTCAAGAAGTTAAGGTTATTTCTATATAATTTAAAATACCTTAAAGAATAGAGAAAGATGTACCATAATACGGTAGCAGGTTATCGTATTAATGCTTATCACTGCTTAAAGAAAGTTATAGTATTCCATGGTACTTACTATTTCAAAACATAGTCTAAGTATGCATTATTATTAACAAATGCTAAACATTATATTTATAGCTGAAAGATAAGAGTACATCCATCTTATGATACTTACCCAAAGTAAGCAAAAATTTTAATCTTTCAGAAATATCCAAACTCTGAAATAATTTTCTCCCCTATATAAGATATAAAACAAATTTTTAACATCTCTATCTTTTTCCTTTTGCTTTCCTCAGTGAGGCTTTACATTTTTTTTTCATAATTGAAAATGATTTAAGGGAATTTTTGGAAGGGGTAGAATTTTTAAAGTCGTTTTCTAAAGAAAAAAGATATTGTTACAGTAGCAATAGTACAATTGTTTTAAAGGATTTAATTGTAAAACATTTTATGTATCTAAGGATTGTTGAGTTCTAGTTTGATCTCAAACACTGAAAAGCATTATTCACTTTTGAGACCCCCAAATATCTGGATGTGATCAGGATTTCAGGCCAGTAGGAGTTTAATTTGATTAAGAGCCCAAGTTACCTCTTGATAAAGACTTGTACTATCATTTAAGCTTCCCAGCAAATTCTTACATATATATTATGATTCAGCAGCCCTGGTGGTGTGATGGGCTAGTAATTGCAAGATAGGCAGCCTGAAACCATTATATGCTCCCTTGAAGATAAAGCAGTCTCAGAAACCCACAAGGATGGTTTTACTCTGTCCTATAGGATCCACCACGAGTAGGAACTGACTTGAAGCCAATGAGTTTTTGTTCTAACAAATGTTAGAAAGTCAGGATCCATCTTTTCTAGCTTTTAAATTTTGCTTAATAATATAAATCACCTTATCTCTTTTTGCCGTGTCCTGGTAGAATTATCCAACTTCACTTCCACTTTCAGTTATGCCTAGTTTACTGTTATCCATCTGTTAAAGTCTTTACATCAATAACATTTCCCCACTAAAAATCTTAACAGTCCTTTTTAGTAACTATTCTTGTTCTACAGCCTCCTAACTGTTTTAGAATTTAAACTGTTTCTCAGATGTAAACTTTTCTGTTGGTTGTTCATATATATACATATGTACATATATATTTTATGTATCTAAGGATTGTTGAGTTCATATACATACATACATATATATATATATAGTTTAGATGTTTGCTAGACATGTAGTCATCTTGTGCTACACAATTCTCCCACTTCATGTACAAGTTTTGGCCTATGGGAATTTCTAGGATATAGAATGGTTGTACTTCTTGAAGGTGAGTCATATATAGGCTGCCTAGAAAAATGATCTTAGCTATATATAACATCTTACTTATAAAGGGCTTTTAAAAGTTTGTGGAAAAGTTGAATTACATTTTCCCATGAACTTTTGAAGCTCCCTTATATATTTTTTTCTTTAGAATAACAAAAAATATTCTACTAAACCATAGGGTTTACAGAAGTTTCAAGACATGGTCCTTAAAATGGTCCCAAGCTTTTCGGTGAAGGAAGGAGTCTACACTTGACAAAAGTCACAGCGGTATTAGGGAGGGCTGTGGTGTCTATTTACTGTTCCGATTTTCCCTCCAACAATCATGCTTGCCCATCTACTGTGTTTAAATACAGTTAGAGTTGGCTAAATGGCAGATTCTAAAAAACAACTAGTTTGCTGCTTTAACCAATGCAATTAAATCACCAGATAAGGGGGAAAGGAGCCCATTATTTTAAAACTACCTCCACCCACCTCAAAAAAAACCCAAAAAACACCCACACCTCTGCAATTAACCCTGACAACCCCATCATTCACAGTGCTTTGTATTTAGACCAAGATAGGCTCTAAGTACAAAGTGGCAGGAGGGGCCACTGCTTTTAAACATTTAGCTACTACCAGCCCCTCATATTTCCCTAGAATATCTAGTAAACCCAAAAGTCCCTTCATAGTTGTTGGTGTTGATATTTTATATCAAATCTAAGTATTTTTTGAGATGTAGTCAATTAATATTCCCTTCTAGCAATAATTCCTTACTTGATATGATTCTGGATTTTCTACCTGTGGCTATGATTCCATTTTGGAAGGAGTTAATTTAGTCTTTGGTAGAGGGTGTAAATCAACTCTTACTCATCGTTTCCATAGGGACACCTTTAAGACTACTTTACTAGAGAGTGTGATTTAAGATACTGTCCTTTGTTTTCCTTTGGGGGTGGGGATGATGTGAGGCTAAAAGACAAAACCACACCTCCACCAAAGTCATTCCTGAGTATAAAGAGCCATCTGTAGACAATCAGAAGAGCACATTCAAGCTCTTTGTCTGAAGTAGTTTAGGTCACTGAGACTGGATACACCACAGACTGTGGCCCTGAGACCCTGAGAAGCAGCACTGAGACTAGAGGGCATCTTTTTCCCATCAGGCCTGAGACTGTGGGACCATGAAGTAGAGTAACAGGCTGGCTTCTTGGCCCATGGGGACAAAGGCCAAGGGACCATGTGGCTGAGAGGCCGAGGATCAGAGGGAGACCTGGATGCTGGCTAAGGAGTGATGTACTGCGAACAAACAACTAATCTTAAGTGTTTGCTGCTGCTGACTTGTGGTAACCTAGGTGGCACAGCGGTTATTAACTGGTTTACTAAACATAAAGTCAGCAGTCTGAAATCCTCAGCCACTCCATAGGAGAAAGACAACGCTTTCCAGAGGGTCCTATGGGGTCGCTAATAGGACTGCTAGGAGTTGAATTGACTTGTTGGAAGTGAGAGTGAAAGCAAGATGCTTAATCATAAGTGTTATCTGAGTTCAGTCTGTGAGTTCTTTGCCACCATTACAACAAATTATGGAACCCAACATAAAAGTAGAGTGCTGTGGGAGGAAGGGTTAGTGTCAGAGGAAGGTTAAAAAGGATGGAGGGTGAAGGTATGTCTGATCCCTGAGCTGTGGGATACGGAAGCCTGAGGAGGTCAGTTTTTCTAGACTTGAAATCTTTACAGATGCAAAAACATTTTTTGTTTGTTTGAGTACCTATTATATGTTAGACTTGGACTAGATATTTTAACTCAAAGAAGTTTTACATGGGAAGACCTCATAGGCCAATAAAGTAGACAAATGTGATATATGCTCTATAGCAAAAGAAGAGGGACAAAAAGGCTCCAACTGTAGGTATTGACTCTACTGCTTGTCTATGGTGGTTTGTATGTTGCTGTGATGTTGAAGCCTATGCGACTGGTATTTCAAATACCAATGGGGTCACAAAAAATGAAAAAGTAAAATATTATTATGAAGTGTGCAAAGACCTAGAGTTAGAAAACCATAAAGTAAAAACATCCTCAACACGAAAAAATTCAAGCCTCAAGTTGCAACATGGAAAGATTCTAGAGGCAAAATATTTAATGATGTAAGAAGCATCATATGAAGATGGAAAGAATACAGAGAGACACTGTACCAAAAAATACTAGTCAAGATTCAACCATTTCAAAGGGTAGCATATGAGAAAGAACCAATGGTACTGAAGGAAGAAGTCCAAGCATTATTGAAAGCCTTAGCCAAAAACAAAGTTCCAGGATTTAATGGAATAGCAATTAAAATGTTTCAGTGCACTGACTCATTGAAGCCAGGAAATTTGGAAGATAGCTGTTTGGTCAATTGCCAGTAAAAGACCCATATCCTTACCCATTCCAAAGAAAAGTTACTCAAAAGAAGGTAAAAACTATAGAACAGTATGATTTATAATGCATGTAAGTAACATTTTATTGACGATCATCCAAAAATGGTTGTAGCAATGCACTGACAAGAAGCTGCCAGAGATTCAGGCCAGATGCAGAAGAGGACATAGAACAAGAGATATCATTGCTCATGTCAGATAGATCTTGGCTCAAAGGAGAGAAAGATGTTTAACAGTGTTTCATTAACTATGCAAAGGTATTAGATTGAGTGACTCCTAACAAACTATGGGCAGCCTTGAGAAAGAATGAGAATTCCAGAACACTTCATTGTGTTCATGTGGAACCTATACATGGTTCAAGAAGGAGTTGTGTGAACAGAACAAGGGAATACTGCATGGTTTAAAATCAGGAAAGTTGTGTGTTAGGGTGGTATCTTCTCACTATACTTATTTAATCTATATGTTGAGCAAATTATCAGAGACACTGGATTATATGAAGAAAAATGTAGCATAGGGATTGGAGGAAGGCTGATGAATGACGCGGATTGACCAAGTCACTCTAACAATGGACTTACACATCAGAACAATTGCGAGGATGGCAAAGGACTGGGCAGTGCTTTGTTCTGTTGGCCTTCGGGTTGTATTCAAAGACAGTGGATAGATGAAAATGAGAGACTTTGCCAAGATCATTAGTTGCCTTCATAAATGTAACCTCATCATCTCCTTCCATAGTTCGGGATCCAGCCAAAGACTACTTTTCCTAGCCTCCCTCATATATTGTTGGGTCACATGAATCACACATCAGTAGTGAAAAGTTCTGAGTTGATACTTCAAACTTGTAGATCAACCCCCATAAGAATTTACCCTGATCTCATTCTTCCCCTTTTCCTCTGGCCAGAATAAGAGATATAGTAAGCTACTTTGGAGACCAGATGTTGAAAAATGGTGCTATCCCTGAAAGCCTGCATTTCTATACGATATACAATAAAGCCCACTAGTACTTGGTAAAGTACATAGTGTGGCAGAGAAAAGGAGGAAGGCCCTTAATGAGATGGATTGACACAGTGGCTGCATCAATGGGCTCAAGCATCAGAACAGCTGTGAGGCTGGTGACGGACCGGGAAATGTATCCTACTGTCGTGCATAGAATTATCTGTGGACTGAAACCAATGTGATGGCACCTGAACCAATACCTACTCTGGGATTGAACATGTAAAAGAAGTACATGGATGGCCTCTACATTACTGTAGTGTGAGCTCCTTTTTAAAACAATGGTAGCTTCATCTCACTCCAGAGAGGTCTCTGGAGAAGATTTCATAAAAAGTCAAAGTCCAAATAGACTCCTAAGAGAATTTCAAAAGCAAAAACTCAAACTCATTGCCATTGAGTCAATGCTGATCCATACAGACTCTCAAGGACAGTGTAGAACTGCCCCGTTAGTTTCTGAGACTAACTTTTTGTGGGAGAAGGACAGCACATTTAAAGAAGAAAGAATAGTATAGAGAACATGCCATTTATAAAAAAGAATAAGCTCTTAAATATTTCAGAGATACCAAAATATTAATGCAAATAATTCTTGAACAAGACTATTTTAAAATACAACTTGAAAATTAGGTTTTCCCCCTTATAGCTGATCAATTTGGAAACTAAAAACCATTATTATCAAATAGCTTTCCTCCCCATAAAGTTTACACCAAATAAACACACTGTTTCAATTACTTTAATATTTCTTTATACATACCATACAAAGCTCAAATAAAATTATTCCAAGAGACCATACATCTGATTTGGGGCCAGATGGTAATGGTTTTTCACTTGGCGTATGATCACTGGTTTTGGAAATTCCTTGTGCAATTACCTCAGGTGCCAAGTATGATGGATACCTATAATGATATGTAAAAATTATGGATAATTACAAAAAAGAAGAGTATATTTTTTACTGTCCTTTTAGTAAGTCCTATGTAAAAGTTCCATGCAAAACAATTGTTGCTAAGAAGAATTCCAACTCACCATGTATTACAAACTTCTATATCTAAGAATAGAGTAAAATGGTCTATTTTCTTTCTTTTTTTTTTTTAACATTTTATTAGGGGCTCATACAACTGTTATCGCAATCCATACACACATCAATTGTGTAAAGCGCATTTGTACATCATTCTCAAAACATTTTCTCTCCACTTAAACCCCCGACATTAGGTCATCATTTTTCCCCTCCCTCCCCGCTCCCCCCTCCCTCATGAGCCCTTGATAGTTTATAAATTGGTATTTTGTCATATCTTGCCCTGTCCGACGTCTCCCTTCACCCACTTTTCGGTTGTCTGTCCCCCAGGGAGGAGGTAACATATAGTTCCTTGTAATCGGTTCCCTCTTTCCTACCCACTCTCCCTTTACTGTTATTTATAGTACATTTTACCTGTTCAAACAGGATTTATCCTATTAATTGGTACAAAATTTTTAAATATATAAATTTGAAATATGTACACTGAAAAATTTCTCTTCCATATCTTGGTACAGTTACCCGCGGACCAGTTTAAAAATAACCAATGTTTATATGTCCTTCCTAAGATACTCCTATTCCCCTCCCCCAAATATGAATTTGTGAATGTGTGCGTGTGTGTGTGTATCCAGATCTACTCACCAATCCTAACACTGCAGCCCTACATAACTGTACCCTAAACGTACTGTCCTGTAATTTCTCTCCTACCCCCTACCTAATAGCCCTGGTGGTGCAGTGGGTTATGTGTTGGGCTGCCTACTGCTAGGTCGGCAGTTCAAAACTACCAGATGCTCTACAGGAAAAAGATGATCCTTTCTACTCTCTAAAAAGGTTAGTCCTGAAAGCCCAGCCAGGCAGCTCTACTCTGTCCATTGGGGGCTGTAGAAGTTGGAATTGACTCAAGGGTAGTGAGTGACCTAACACTATTTCACATTACATATCATGACCTCATTTCCTTAAAAACTGCAGTTTCATTCATTATACAGATGTAGTTAATTTATTTGACCCAACTCCAATATTGGATATTTTGGTCATTCCCTGTTTTCCTTTTTTTAAAACTATTACAAACTGTTGAAATCAATTTTGTAAAATTCCATTTCTCAGTATGTGTAGCTGATGGATATATTTCTAGAAGTAGCAATAAAAGGCTATAAAGTGGGTCATCTAGGGAAAAGATGAGGCAGAAACTATAGGAACCTAAATGCACACTTCTTTATGCCACTGTCTTTCATCAAATGTCACACAGAATGGCATTGCTTCTCTAGCAATTGATATGTAGCAACATTTGTGCTGTTTGAAATTCCAACATAGGTAAGTCTATTAAAGACTTACCTATGGTTTTTATTTGGGGCCATTTACATTGGCAGCCTCTCTACCTAGCAGGTGTGCATCAGGGTTGTATCCTCTCACCATACTTACTCAATCTGTATACGAGAAAATAATCAGAAAAGCTAAATTACATAAAGAAGAATGCAGTACCAGGATTGGAAGAAGGTTTATTAACAACCTGAAATATTCAGATGACACAAATTTGGTTGCTGAAAGTGAGGAGGGCTTGAAGCACTTGTTGATGAAGATCAAGGATTACAGCCTTCAGTATGGATTACAATTCAATATTAAAGAAAACAAAAATCCTCACAACTAGATCAAGAGGTAACATCACGATAAATGGAGAAAAAAATTGTCAAGGATTTCTTCTTGGTTGGATCCACTATCAATGGTCAAGCAAGCAGTAATCAAGAGATCACAAGAGTAGGTGCTTTGGGTAAGTCTGCTACACAAGACCTCTTGGAAGTGTTGTAAAGCAAGGAGATTACTTGAGGACTAATGGTCAGTTATTATCAATGTATCTTGTTTGCCTATTCGATCAATTTGAGACTAAAGACTTTGGTAGCATTTGGTAAAATTCTTCAATTTCTTCATTATTGGCCTTAGTGGTTGGTGCATAAATTTGAATAATAGTTGAATTAGACTGTATATCTTTGTATGTATATAGATATTGTTCTATCACAGACAGCCTGTACTTCAAGATATATTGGCACTTGCCTGAGCAGGGCAGAGGCCAAGCTGCATGCACAACAGGTTGAGGACCAGAAAGAAAGGTAGAACCAGAGACATGCCTGCTGACATGGCTGTAGACAAGAGGACTATAACCTTAATGTTTCTTATCCTGATCTATGGCAATCTGTTAACTTCCCTACTAAACCCCATCATCTTGAGTATTGTCTGTAAGGATTGTGTGGCCACTGCAATAGACTAGTGAACCCAAACAGTAGAGTGCATTATTAGGTACGGTTGGTGTCAGAATCCAGGAAAGGAAGTTGGAGAGTAGAGGCATGTCTGTCTTGCTGACAGGAGTCATCCTTTGGCAGATATGGGATTGAGTTCTCCTCCTTTATGTAGCTAGATATGGTAGGTGTGGCCCCCACGCCATTTCCTCAAGCTTTTATTTTTCTTGCCTAACTGAATTTATTAGTACCAACAACAACCTTCTTTTGAACCTGTTAACTTCGGGGTTGAGATTTTACTTAACGACAAACAGATACAGATAGGTTAGTATTTTAAAAATTATGTTAAAGAAATATTAAGTTGGTCTTTTTTATTAAACATTTTTAACACAGATATCTTAATACTGAATATATCAAAATACTTTGAATACCTCCAGAGATGATCTTATGGTTTTTCACTCATGATAGGCTATCTTTTTATATTATATTAAGATTTTCTAAACTGGCTATACACTGCTAGAATAAAGCACACCCGGCAGTGTCTTGTAATATGTTAGTGGCCTAAAAGTATTTTATTTAACATTTTTAATAGTAAAATCTTAAGCTAAAATTGTATTTAGATTTTAATATAACAGGTCTTATGAATAATGTTATTTTGAATTATTAAAAAAGAAGCTAACAGTATTCTATTAAACCATCCTGAAATATGTATCATTTTAATTTAGATGATAACAAACTTAACCATTATTTCTTTTGTAGAATTTGTCTATGAATGTCAGGCCCAGTATTTCTCTGAGGGGAAGCAACTTTTCAGTATTTCTATATTTGGTTTATATGGATAGAAAAGTTCTTTAGGAGCTATTGATGGTAATTTATAATTTGCTTCCAAATCATCCATAAGTCTGGATAAGAAAAGATTAAGGAAATAGTCCTCTTGTCCACATCAAATTTGCAGAGTTAAGCAAAAGAATCTTATAGATTTACTAAGATTTCTTTTTCTCTGTACATTTGAATTTTCTCCCTTTTCTCCTGATTAGGTTAACTTTTTAACTTTTTTGTTTAAAAATGTTCTCTTCTCTTAATACTTTATTATATTTGGGCTATAGCCATTATGAGAATTTGATATATGGTAGGTTAATTCTAATATATTTCATGAAAGATAAAAGCTTTAAGTAAAAGCCCACTGCCATCAAGTTAATTCTGACACATAGCAACTCAATATAGATTTATGAGGCTTTATCACTCTCCATGGGTGCAGCCAACGTCCTCTTTCTCCGTTGGGGTGGCTTGTGGTTTTGAACCACTGAGTTTTCAGTGAGTAGTCCAATGCTTACGCAGCAGCCACCACCATGGCTCCTTTTGTTTCCACGACCTCAGGAAAAGTCAATGGTAACTATAAGGAGAAGCATACTATTATATATAAAAAAAATTCTCAACAGACAAAACCTCTTCTATTATCTGCTGTCTCCTAAATTCATAAAAAGATAGAGAACGCATAAAGAGTACATTCAGTAAACTGCGATAAACTTCTAACATAAATTTTCTGGCCAATTCATCTTATGAATAATTTCATCAAATCTTACGTCTTCTGTTGAGATGAAAATATTCTCTTCACTTCTCTTTTCTCTCTTTTAGATCATTTTATTGGGGGCTCTTACAACTCTTGTTAGAATCCATACATCAATTGTATCCGACATATTAGTACATATATTCCATAATTCTTTTCTAGACATTTACTTTCCATTGAGCCCTTGGAATCAGCTCCTTCCCCCCCCCTTCATCCTCCCCCCACCCCCAACCCTCGTGGCCCCTTGATAGATTATAAATTGTTATTATTTTCAAATCTCACACTGACCACTGTCTCCTTCCCCTCTGGTTTCTGTTGGTCTTCCCCCTGGATGGGGGTGTGTGGCTATGTGCCATTCATTGCAATCAGTACCCTCCTCCCTCCCCACCTCCTCCCCACTTGCCCTTACCAAAAAAAAAGAGAAAATATTCTCGTCTCTTAGGGACATTACAGCTTATCTCTATCATTAATATTGTTCTCTAATAACTATAAGTCATTAATTTTATCCGTTCTATCTATATTTTATATAATATACAATATCATGATACATACATCTCCTATTTTATATACTGTATAATATTTAACAGACAAATAGATCAAACATCTAATAACAGAAAACCACCTTCAGAATAGTTATCTTATTTATTTTTATAACTTCTCAACAACTACCAATGCAACCTAGACATGAGATATACTCAGTATAGTATATTTTGGTTAAATATCGAAAAAGAATGATTCCTATAAAGAATACCTACTATATCTGCCCTATAAATTTCCTAAAGAAATGATTGAATCTACTTTAAAACTTATATAGTATGTAAGAATCAGACATATTGGTAATTGCTAAATTTATTTTAAACAAAAACAGATTTTGAAGAAAAGTGAAATAAATAAATATAATACTGCGCTTATTATTATATGCACATAGCCCTTTTTCCTTCCTTTTAGTGATACAAAATATGTAATTATTCAATAGAAGATAACTCCTATGCCATCCTCCAATAATGACTGTAATCAAAATGTCTTTAACTATATATAACAGCTAAAGTAGGCACTCAATTTCACTCTATTTTCTTCTTCTTTCTCTCTTTTCTTTTTGGAGGTCATATACTTACACTTTGTTACTAGTGCTTTTGATGTATCTATGATATATAAGCCAATTTAGTCAGGGAATGACTGATGAAAAAGTTATATGAAAAAATATTTTTTATTCCTTTGTCATTTTAAAATAATAATGATTATCAATATCATTTATAAATGTTCTCTTGTATTTAAATTCCCATTATGTCAATTTACTAAGAGAAGCATACTGCTTTCCTCTTTCATGAATGTGTGAAATATCTAGATACAGCTGGAATCTAGTAGAAAAAGTACTAGACTTGTTTGTTCTAATTCCAGTTCTAATATGTATTACGTATGCACTTTGGATTTCTTCATATGAAAATCAGGGAATAATAATGACTACCTCACAAACTGGTAATAGTGAATACATAAAATATGTGTTTTATAGAAATGTGACAAAAATACAACATGGTTTTTTACCATTAATATTATCAAGATGCATATAAGAGAAATTATTAATTTTATTATATATGTGTCTAAATTAAAAATGATAGTATGGTTAGTGAAATACAAGCAATATTATCTTCTAAAATTATTTTATCAAAAATTCAGGCTGATAATCTTGCTCCAAAATTCTAGTTTCTTTTAAATCAAGGATAAAATGAATGAAAAGAGTAAACCTTAAAATTGTTCTTGAATGTAAACAATCCTTTTTAAGAAGTCTCTCTCTTTTAGTATATTTAACCCTTTAAGACAATTACTACAACTTGCTGTGCATACGACTGATGAAGGAATTTTCTGATAAGGAATCTTCAGTATGTTCGATGTTTCAACTAGGCACTAAACTACCAGCCAATTGAAATGAATGCGTAATTTCTAACTCTACAATCGTTTGAACAGATGTTAACATTTTACTTTGTTTTCCCTCAATATTTATCTTTTGAATCAACTGCAAGCTTCTTCTGGTATAAATATTTTCTTTCAAGGCTTAGCTGTTTGATCGCTTTATTTTTCCTGGCTAATGTTTCATAATTTGCTCTTTGGTACTTTCTGGTAAGATCCTTTGGGTCTAAGATTTCAAAGGAAGCCAGACCAAATGGTAAAACAAGCCCAGCTCCATCTGGGCATTTTAAATCTGAGTGTACTTCTGCAGTCTACATGAGGTGCCTTAAGAAAAATCACTGCTTCTATTCCACACTAAAACCTAAAGTAGAGGTTGGAAACAAAGTAATTTTGTCCAACAGTGGTAAGTGCATGGAATTTTTGTTGGCACTGGGCTTTTACAGTTGTCTCTAAAACAACTTGATGTAGACAAAAAAGCAGCAGTAGCACTTCAAAAGACAATTATCATACATGACAAAGATGTTAGATATTTACTATGAAGTTATTCTTATTATATTCAAAAGGAAACTTTAAACAATTAAGAAACTATAAACTCTCTCTGTAAAACCTCAATTATGCTTGCAAAAAGAATTATTTGTTGCTTATGAGTACAGATTTTTGACAGCTAAAAGTGTAAGATTATGAATTTATGCACATTAAATAGGGCATAAAAACAAAATTTTCACATTATATAATGTTTTTAAGAAACCTATCTTATTCACTTCACTTATCTTGTACCTAGAAGAGAAATTGTTCAACAAATACATGAATGAATAAAGGGAATAGTAGAAGATTTATTATATCTTTGCTAATGAAAAGTTTATATAAGAAATCTACATTCTAAGTTACAAAGAGAGTAATTTACAAATGTGGCTTTGCTTGTGTATATCTTCAGTCTTTAGGTGATACTGCTTACTGCCCTCAACTCCCTGCCATTAGTCAATGCTGAGTCATAGCAACCTCCTGTGGATTTCCAAGACTATAACTGTTCACGGGAGTAGAAAGTTCAGTCTTTCTTCCATAAAGCTGCTAGTGGTTTTGAACTGCCAACAATGTGGATTGCATCTAACCATGAAACCACTACATCACCAGGGCTCCTTCATAGCTGCTGTCCAACAAAGCAGCCTAAAACTCCATGACTCCATACCACAATCCTCAGTAGTGGTGTGATAAAACTGATTTTAGAAAGCACAAAGAACAATACTTGCTATTAAAAAGAATAATGGAACAGATTTTATATATATATATATACATATACACATACACACACACAACCATAGGTTAGATAATACACAGTATTATATCAATGTTGACTTTCTATTTTTTTATAATTGTACTTTGCTATATACAAAATTTCTTTATTTTAGAAAAAATTGAAATATTTAGGGATAAAGAGTAACTCTGTATGCTTATTATTCTTATATAAGATTCAAAAAAGAATTGTATTTATATACACATACACATAGTCACAGAGGGTTAAAGGGGATAGAAAATTAAAGCAAGAGAGATTACTATTAAGGAAATCTTGTGTATATAGTATATAAGAATTCATTGTATTATTATTATTATTATCATTTTAGTGGGGTTTTTTTCTTGTGAATTAGGCAGGGGGGTTACATTTCATATCATTATCTCTGTATTCAACACGTCAAACCATCTAAATTATATAAAAAGGAAACATACATACACAAACATCTATATTATCAAGATGCTTAAAAAAGAAGCACATAACAAATGTTGCCAAAAAAAATATCTATCTCAAAGGCATCCTTCAGGGTAAACAGTGAAATAAACTGTTCTTTTCTTGAAATCCAACTTACACCTAGAATTCCAATATTGTAAGTGATCAAATGAATTCTCCCCACCCCTTTGTGCAACTTAAATTTAGATTTACTTAATAGATTTACAGGTAAGGAATGAACTTCATTAACAATGATATCTACTATAAACCATTAACATTGATATCTACTATAAGCCATCTTAAGTCTTAAAATATCATTAGGCCTCAGAGAATCGGAAATTAAACTCAGAAATAACAAGCAGAATAATGTGAAAAAGCAAGTAAGTAGAATAGTAAAAACATAATGTGAGAAGTGATTTTTCTGTTTCTTGATGCACACACATACACTACTTTTTAAATTATTATACATTACTTATCAAGTGCCATAAACATACATTATTTCCAAGAATAATAAATTAAAGACTGAACTCAGAATAAAAGAAAACATATACTTATGTGCTTACCCTATTGGAAAATCAACATCATCACCATGACCTGTCATGTGATAAAGTCCAAATTTAGCCAATTTAATATGCCCCTACAAAAAATAGATAAAGCAATATGAAATATCTTAATATTACTGGAAAGATAAAGTATCATTGTATATAAGAATGAATACCATTATACAAACACTAAGAAATTGTGTTTTAATTTACCATAGTTTTATATCACGAACTATATGCCAATGTTTAAATTCAGTTCCACCTTCAATATTACTGTATATGTGTGTATACATATAGATATACACATCTATAACTATACATATCTGGATATACATATATATACATCATTGCTGTGTGCTAGCCAGTTGATTCAGACTCATAATAACATTATATATGAGCCAAAGTGGAACTGTCCTCACAGTGGGTCCTATACTGTAATATATACGTGAGCCAATCCCAGGTCTTTCTCCCCTCAGAGCTGCAAGTGGGGCTGAACCTCTGGTTGGCAGTGAAGTGCTTAGCCATTGTGCTACTAGGACTTGCTCTCTCTCTCTGTCAATATGAGATTAAACCATATTGTTATTTGGGTTTCAGTTCATGCATAGAGAAACTTATTCCAAACAAAATGTGCTTAAATACACCTCTGTGATCAGTAGATAGAGTCAGATAAGTTCTGTCAATAATACAGTTAACTTAGTCTCCTCCATGGGTGCTTTTTGTTAATGTCTTTGACCCAATAAAAACAGTTTCTTTCAAAGGTCAGTTAAAGTCAAGGCAGAAACCTCAGTTCAGAAGTTTACTCTTTGGGGGTTATCTTGATAGATTTTCTCATGGGACATAGGATAATCCTGGGGTGTTACTAGACTTTTTAGGAAAACTCAAAACTGTATTGCTGAGAAAAGGGCCAGGAAAGTTGCACACAGAGAGTTTCTTTTTCCATCACGACAATGTAACTGCCCATACTTTGAGGGTAGCAAAGGCTGTCTTGTAAGACTTTTCATTGGGAAGCCTTGGCTATTCACCCTAAACACTGATCTTGTTCCTTCAGACTCCTGTCAGCTTCCCCAACTCAAAGAAAATGTCATAAATATATAGCTTGAGTCCCTCGGGGATGCCAAAACTTTTGTTTTGACATGGTGTAAGTAGAAGAGAGCAGAAAATTCTTTGGAGGAAGGGTTAGAAATATGGAAAAGCCCAGATAGAGGACATGTGGATAAATAACACACACACACACAGACACACACACACACACACACACACGTATATCTGTGTGGTGTATGTATGCATGTATATCTATGGTGTCTGCATATGCATGTATATATTTATGTCAAAATAAAAAATCACATTTTTTTCAAAATATGGTTATTTATATTACCCAAAGTTTTTTGATAAAGCACAAATGTTCTCCTTTTTATGGGGTGGAATTGCAGAGAAATCTTTACACAATTTTGCGGTAATCTCCACAGGTAAATTTGTGGGGGTTTTTTTTAAAGGAAATTTCAAGTTAATTCCTAATGCAATAGTTTACCCCAACAGGAAAATTCTTAACCTGAAAAGATTGGTTCAAAAATGATCACTATTTTGGCGAGTCTTCTAAATTTCCAATAATTTTGTATGTTGAAAATAATGATAATTATCATAATGTGAATTTCTTAATAATAGACAAAAATTAACTTTACTAGCCTTTAAAACTTTTGCCCTTTTATATAATTATATCTTTAGAATTTTAATCAATCTAAAATTTGTTTGCTTTTTCCATCCCCAAACTTTATTTTTCCATCTTACAGGCTACTTACATTTTAAAATAACTTAGATTAGCTATGGCAATGCCATTCTCTTGCTATAAATCTGAAATTAAGTATTATTTTCTCTTTTATGATTTCTAACATCACAAAATAGCAGTATTCAAAGTCTAGAATAGAGTCAGAAAAAAAAATCACTGAAACAGAAAATAATTTCCAGGAAATAAATTCCCCCAAAATGTTTTACACACGTACTAAAAGAAATCAAACTATAATTATTATAGAAAATATTCTTAATTCTATTTAAATAATTGCTTAGTTTCTTATTAATCCACCATAAGATTTCTAGTAAAGCAGTGCACTCCAAGGAAGCTAGGTATTCATAGTTGATTAATAAATATCAATGGAAAAAGGAGCAAAGGGCAATAAAGGGAATAAATAATGAAGTTATGCTTCTAAGAATAATATTCTACAGATATCATCAGAGAAGTTTGATATTAAAGGAAATTTTAAAAGGTGAAGATTGAGAAGCAAGGAAAAAATGAGTGTGTGAAGGAAATAAACAGTAATTTTGAAAATAAGTCTTGGAGAAAAAGAAATCTATGTGATAAACAAGGGATTTACCCAATTTACGATGTTTCTATCTTTCTAACCAGGCTATCACTTTCATTATGAGTCTTCTCCTTAAGGAAATCTTTACACATCTTACCAATGTCTGGCCCCTCTAATGAAATAAATAGTGCTTATATAAGTAGCATTCATCCTTTAATAATGAACAAAAATTTATTTTTCATACTACTTGACACTTACCTTTTGGTCCAAAAGAATATTATGAGGAGACAGTGCACGATGTACTATACCATGTTTGTTCATATACTTCAAGCCCTGGAGTACTTCAAATGCTATGCACAAAACCTTAGAATAGCTAAAAAAAAATTAAAAAATTAAAGTCAGAGATCAGTTATAAAGCAGATATGGAACCTGTTTTAAGGAATGCAATGAGGACAAATAATCAAATAAAAAGAACTATATCCAGTTTAAAAAGAACTATATACAGTTAGGGCTCTTATATCATAGAAATTAATATCTATACTTTTTAGAAAAATCCACTAGTACAATATTTTTACTGCAATTGAATTGTTCTGGCAAAGATCTTATAGTTCCTTGAGCTATTCTAACAGCAGCATTTGTTTTTCATCAGGCAGGGACTTGAATTGTGGTGATATGCATTATTTATTCAAACAAACAACAATAACAATAAAACAAGTTATTATGGAGTCGATTCTGACTCATGATAACCCCCATTGTCAAGGGGTAGTTGCTAATGCTCCACAGGGTAGTTGTTTTTTTGGCTGTAATCTTTATGGAAGCAAATTGACAGGAATTTCTTTCTGGCACTTGGATGTGTTTGAACTACTACTTTTAGGTTAGGATCCAAGCACGAGTGCTGGCATGATTCAGAGATCTGTATTACTTACAAAGGGTTTAACTGACCTGATGTAACAAGGCTTGATTAGATATGACAGAAGTAGTCAAGGAAAACCATCTATTGTGCTCATGATAAAATATTTAAGCCCTTGATAAAGCTATGATATATTTTGTGTATAAATATATGTTTATCTCCATAACAATAGATAAAAATTGAGGAGTAGTTTATGAATCATCAAATATTTTTCCTTAATTCTAATCATATTCTCTCTGAGTAATCTTCCAAATATTCAGGTTTGCTCTTTCTCCATCCCTAGCTTTCCTGCCCTCTAATTTTTTAATAAAAAATCATCAATGTAAAAAAGTAGGAATAATATACAGAAAAATAAGATTCATTCAAACACAGCCTGATTTCAAACACCAATATTAACATTTTACATAGATCTCATATTTATGCATAATTTAAAATATTTTAAATTAAATTAATAATTAGTAACAAGTAACATTTAAAGAAGCATAAATAACAAGTCACTAGTAGGGATAAATTGAATAATAAAACCAATTCACGAATAGATAGATTAAAAGGAAAACTAAAAACAAAACCAAAAGTAATCAATAGCATATATGTTGAATTTTAATTCAGATGTACCCCCAAAATTATATTAAATGGAAGTCGTCCAAATTTACTCATTAAAATACAAGGATTATAATACTGGATAAGAATTAAAATTCAACTAAGCAGAGAAGGAAATATGAGAAGACTTCAAAACTTTTGAAGATGATGAATAATTAATATTATTATCTCTTAATGCTGCTATTATTATGTAAACATATTCACTAAGCCCTTAGCAGTCAAAAGATAATGTCTCAGCTCCTCGGGAAAAGAATGAGTTTTTGAGGAATTACTGAAACCCAAATGAAGGCTGAACATGATAGTGGGACAAGAGGAAAGTCAAAGGAAATAGAGGAAAGAGCTAGGAGGCAAAGGGCATTTATAGAGGTCTAAATAAAGGAATGTACATATTTAAGTATATTTATATATGAGGATGGGGAAATAGATCTATTTTAAGATGACCAGATTTTAACATTGGTAAAGTGGGACACCATTGATAAAACTCATATCCTGGCAAAATAGCCACGTGGTAGCGGAAAACCGTATACCCTAGCTTGTCGTGCATTCTTTCCAAAAATCGGGACCTTTTTAAAACACCGCGGGACACGGGAAAAATTGTTAAAAATCTATCACGTGAAATCACAGCTTCATTTCTATCACCATAACCTTATTTTCCAACTACTGCTCCTTCTTTGTTTCCAGGAAAACACTGGAATGCATTCAAATCACCAATTATTATCAGAGCATCTTGATTACATGTTTGGTCAATTTCAGACTGAAGACAAAGAAGGTATGAGCTATTCACTTCATAAGACTTAAGAAACTGAAACATTATGCAGAGCATGAAAACATTGTCAGATACTGAAGGCCTAATGAACTAGAAGCAGAACATTACCAGAAATGTTGGCAGAATATGAGCCCCTCTGGTCAGAAGGCACTCAAAATTCGACAGAAGCTGAGCTGCCTTCTCAAAGTAAAGTCAACTACCATTACATGAATGGAGAAAAGGCTTATTATGCTGGGAATGCCACAATCAAATCAATCTATGGCACATTCATAGTTTAAAAGGACATTTCAAGATCTATCTTTAATTGCAAAGCTGTCTGTGATAGGATTATAGCTATTAGCATACATCATGTATCTAATATTCAAATTTATGCACTACGGGGACCAGCCTCACAGAATGGGTCCAAGGGGTGGTTGTGTAATTGAAGGGTAAATTAAAGAGAAATAAGAAAAAGGAAAGCATGCAAGGGAGGGAGGGAGACGAGATAGGGGTTATACGTGCAATTGGAAGGGCAGGCACTAAAGGTATATATGTGATAGGAAGGCACATAAGTAACAAGATGGGTGGACTTTAGAATCAAGACTGCAGCCTAAACTTTGTCCTCAGAGTTGGCTTGCCCTTAGACATCTTTGGGCTCACCTTCAGGGGAACAATCCATTATCCTTACCAGAAGGGAGTGGGTCCTACTCAGAGTGGGACAGACACAGGGTCGGGTTGTTTTAGATGGCTCACAACCTTCGGCAGATAACCTTCAAGCAGTTGACTTTAAGTGTGTAGTCAGTGACCATGTGTTTGCAAAGAGCACCTTAAATTTGTCATTATTATGGGTGGATATCATGCGGAATAACTTTTACTTAGGAGAATATGAGTGGGACACAACACCAACCTACGAACAGGAAGGTTTCCTGCACAGGAGCCTTGGCTTTCCAGACTTCCATTGTGTTTCCCACAATGCACCAACCACTAAAGCTAGTGATAAAAACTTAAAGTCAGCATTCTCATTCACTGCCATCAAATCAATGCCGACTCATAGTGACCTGGTAGGGTGGAATAAAACTGTCCCCTTTGATTTTTCTAGACTATGATTGTTTATGGGACTAGAAAATCCTGTCTTTCTCCCTAGGAGCAGCTGGTGGTTTCGAACTTACAACTTTTTGATTGCAGTTCAGCAAATAACTACTATACCACCAGGGCTCTTAAGTCAACATTAAGTGTCATTTTGAGTTTGAAGATTCACATGCTACCTTAATATGAAGAAAAGTTAATTCGGCTACTGATTATTTCCTCTAAATCTCTGTATCTTTTATTTGGAATTCTTAATTTATTGGTGTATATTGAACAATTCTCCAGATGAATTTTGTTTGACTTCTTATGAACATGGCTTTTAATCTATGAAAATACATTGCATTGTGTAATGTCTAGGAGTTCTTCTCTTCTAGTTGGTCAATAGATGCTGTGTTGATTATGGAGAATTACAAGAATTCTGTTATTACAAAAAGGAAAAAAAGCATTATCTCAATTTCCTCTGTAAAGAAGGGTTTGTTGTTTCACTTAGGGTTGGCTGGTTTTGTTCTTTTCTCTTCATGGAAATTTCTGTTTCTCTCTAACTACAGTTTCCCCTTCAAATATTGGGTAGTTTTGATTCTCACTAATATATTTTTAAAGCAATAATTTTATTTTCGCTATAAATTTTGTAAAAAAATAAAATTATTGTTTACAAAAATTTCTAGTTAAGGGGATCTTCAAACTATATTTCTTTAGCAAATATTTTCTCTTATATTAATATGTCGCAGGAGTCAGTCTTGAGCAAGTAGGATATGTATAAAAGGGAACGATTTCGAATAAACACAGTTGACTGTGCTTTCAAGAAAGTTTTTAAAACAAATCCAGCTGTATAAAGGGTGAAATGCCAAATTCTTAACCCAAATTTCATTTTTTATAATTGTAGCATTAAAGATTCCTAGGTCTAACATTTAAGTATACATTGATAAATAAGCACACAGGAGAGAATACACTTTTAAAAGTAAAAAAAAATATTCTGAGATTTTTAACAACAAATAATTAGATAAGGAGCTTGTTTTCTGAGAT